GCATGTAGCTGTTCAATTTTCCCAACACCATTGATAAAAGAGGCTGTCTTTACTCCACTGTATGCTCTTGCCACCTTTGTCAAATATTAATTGAGCATATGGTCTTGGGTCCATTTCTGGGTTCTCTATTCTGTTCCATTGATCTATCTGCCTGTTCTTGTGCCAATACCAGGCGGTTTTGATTGCAGTAATTTTGTGGTATAACCTGAAATCTGGTAATGTGATCCCTCCAATTTTGTTCTTCTTTTTCGAGATTGCTGTGGCTATTCAGGGTCTTTCTTGGTTCCATATGAACTTTTGAAGTACTTGTTCAAGTTCTGTGAAGTATGTTGTGGTATTTTGATGGGGATTCATTGACTCTGTACATTGCTTTGGGTAGTATGAACATTTGAATGATGTTAATTCTTCCAATTCATGAACAAGGTATGTGCTTCCACTTTTTGATGTCTTCCTCTATTTCTTTTTGCAATGACCTGTAGTTTTCCATGAATAGGTCCTTTATTTCTTTGGTTAAATTTATTCTTACGTATCTTAATTTTTTTGGCGCAATGGCAAAAGGGATAGTTTTTTTAGTTTCTCTTTCTGTGAGTTCATCATTGGTGTATAAGAATGCCATCGATTTCTTGACGTTAATTTTGTATCCTGCTACTTTGCCAAATTCATTTATTAAGTCTAGTAGATTTTCGATGGAGTCTTTAGGGTTTTCTATGTATAGTATCATGTCATCTGCGAATAATGACAGTTTCACTTCCTCCTTTCCAATTTGGATCCCTTTTATTTTTTCTTCCTGTTTGATTGCTGTGGCTAAGACTTGCAGTACTGTATTAAATAAGAGTGGCGAAAGTGGGCATCCTTGTTTTGTTCCTGTTCTTAAGGGAAATGCTTTTAGTTTTTGCCCATTGACCATGATGTTGGCTGTAGGTCTTTCATATATGGCCTTTATTATGTCGAGATATGATTCCTCTATAACCACATTGCTGAGTGTTTTAATCAGAAACGGGTGCTGGATTTTGTTGAATGCTCTTTCAGCGTCTATTGATAGGATCATATGATTTTTATCTTTCATTTTGTTTATGTGGTGTATCACATTTATTGATTTGCAAATATTGTACCAGCCTTGCATCCCTGGGATGAATCCCACTTGGTCATGGTGAATAATTTTTTTGATGTATTGCTGGATTTCATTTGCTGCATTTTATTCAGGATTTTGCCATCTATGTTCATCAGGGATATTGGCCTGTAGTTTTCTTTCTTTGTAGTGTCTTTTTCTGGTTTCGCAATTATAATTATGCTGGCCTCATAAAACTAATTGGAGGTCTTCCTTCTTCTTGAATTTTTTGAAATATTTTGAGGAGAATGGGTATTCCTTCTTTATTGAATGTTTGGTAAAATTCCCCCGTGAAGCCTTCTGGACCTGGGCTTTTGTTTGCTGTGAGAGTCTTGATTACATCTTTAATTTCCTTAGTTGTTAATTGGTTTGTTCAAGTTTTCTATCTCTTCCCGGTCCAGTTTTGGGAGACTGTGTGTTTCTAGAAATTTGTCAATTTTGCTTAGATTGTCGAATTCGTTGCCATATAATTGTTCATAATATTTGTTAACAATTCTTTGTATTTCTGTGATATCAGTTATTATTTCTCCTCTTTCATTTCTGATTTAGTGTGTTTGGTTCTCTCTTTGTTTCTTGGTTAGTGTAGCTAATGGTCCATCAATCCTCTTTGCTTCATTGATCCTTTGGAGTGTGTTTTTGGTCTCCATGTCATTTATTTCTGCTCTGATGTTTACTATTTCCTTCCTTCTACTTCTTCTGGGGTTTTCTTTTTGTTTGCTTTCTAGTTCTTTAAGTTTTGAGGTTAGATGATCTATTAGAAATTTTTCTTGTTTCTTGAGGTAGGCCTGTAGTGCTATGAACTTCTCTCTCAGAACTGCTTTTGCTGCATTCCATAGATTTTGTGTTGTTGTGTGTTCATTTTCATTGTTTTCCAGGAAGTTTTTAATTTCTTCCTTGATCTCCATGGTAACCCATTCATTGTTCAATAACATGCTATTTAGCCTCCATGTGTTGAAATGTCTTTGCATGTTCTTATTGCAGTTGATTTCTAATTTCATGCCATTGTGACCTGAGAAGATGCTTGATATGATTTCAGTCTTCTTGAACTTGTAGAGACTTAGTTTGTGCCCTAACATTTGGTCTATCTTTGAGATTGTCCCATGTGCACTTGAAAAGAATGTGAATTCTGTAGTTTTGGGGTATAAATCTCTGTAGATATCTATTAAATTCATTTGATGTAGCACTTCATTTAGAGTCTATGTTTCCTTATTAATTTTTTGTATAGATGATCTGCCCAGTGATGTCAGCGGGGTGTTGAAGTCCCCTGCTATGGTTGTCTTGCTGTTGATTTCTCCTTTGAAGTCCTCCAGAAGATTTTTAATATATGTTGTTGCTCCTAAATTGGGTGCATATATGTTTACCAAGGTTATATCTTCCTGTTGGATAGATCCTTTCAATATTATGTAGTGGCCTTATTTTCTCTAGTTATGGCCTTCATTTTGAAATCTAATTTATCAGATATGAGTATTGCTACCCCTGCTTTTTTTTTCCTTTCTGTTTGTTTGAAAATTTTTTTTTCCATCCCTTCACTTTCAATCTATGTGAGTCTTTTGTTGTGAGATGGGTGTCTTGGAAACAACATATATGTGAGTCATGTTTTCTTATTCAGTCAGCTACTCTGTGTCTTTTTGTTGGAACATTCAATCCATTTACATATAAGGTAATTATTTATTTGTACTTATTAATTGCCATTTTTGTTTAGTGCGGTTGTATTTTCTTCCTCTTCTACTAATTACAGCAGTCTTTTTAGCATATCTTGCAGTGCTGGTTTGGTGCTAATATATTCCCTTACCCTTTTTTTCTCTGGGAAGCTCTTTATTTGACCTTCTATTTTTGAATGACAGTCTTGCTGGACAGACTAGTCTTGGATTCAGTTCCTTGTTTTTCATGACCTTGATTACTTCATGTCATTCCCTTCTAACCTGTAGTGTTTCTCTTGAGAAGTCCGCTGAGAGCCTTATGGGGTTTCCTTTGTAGGTAACCTGTTGCTTATCTCTTGCTGCCTTTAAGATTCTCTTTGTCTTTAATTTTTGGCATTTAAGTACTATGTGTCTTGGTGTGGGCCTCTTTGGGTTCTTCTTACTTGGGGCTCTCTGTGCTTCTTGAACTTGAATGCCTTCTTCCTTCACCAAGTTAGGAAGGAATGTTTTCTGTCACTATTTCTTTAAATATATTCTCTAAACTTTGCCCGTTTTCTTCCTTTCTGGGACTCCTATGATGCCAATGTTATTGCATTTCCAGTTGTCCCACAGTTCTCTTAAGCTGTCTTCCTGTTTTTTCATTCTTTTTTCCTTTTGGTTTTCTGATCAGTTGATTTTGTTTTTTTTCTACCCTGTCTTCTGATTCACTGATCCAGTCCTCAGCTTCATCTACTCTGCCGGTTAGTCCTTCCAATGTGTTCTTAATTTCTGCTATGTCATTCTTCATTTCCACTTGGTTGGTTTTCAGTGTTTCTATGTCTTTACTTATGATGCTGATGTCCTTACTCAGTTGAGCTTCCTCAAGATCATGGCTCTGAACTCTACCTCTGATAATTTGCTTCGCTGCATTTCATTGATCTCATCTTTGATAGAGTTCTCTTGTGTTTTCATTTGGGGATTGTTTGTTTCACCATTTTGGGTATCAGTGGGTTTTTGAGCCTGCCAAACTTTCCCTGCGTGTTGGTGTTCTGTTTGTGGCTCCCTCTACTGGGTTTGGATGAGCCTGGATGGGCCCACGTTAAACACCACTGTCTAGTCTTGCTTTCCTGGGTAGATTTGCAAACCTAGGAAAGAAAGTTTCAGTTATCCTCTAGCTTTTTCCTGGTGGTTAGTAGTCTCAGTTACTCAGTGCCTTGGAATGTAGCCCTGGTGTTCTGCATAAGAGGATTTCCAGAGTGTGGGATCGATGCTGGTTGTTAATTAGACTCAATTTGCATTTCTTTGCCTCACCTGGAAAAGGCTGAATCTCCAAGGGAGGGGCTGCTGCTTTTCCCCACAGCTCTGGGAAGGAGCACTCTGGCCGTTCTTTGTGTCCTCCACTCAGCAAAAACTTTGGAGTGCCCTCCAAATCCCTGGTGTCTCCACAGAGTTCCAGACCAGTCTTCCCTCCCTCTGCTGGAGCCCCAGGTGAGTGCCTGTGGCTATTTTAGCACTCTGTCCAAGCTCTCCGCTGTGGAGCCGCTTGGGGGTTTAACCCCAAGGGTGCTGCTCACAACTCAACCACTGCTGTCCGTCGGCTCTCAGCCTGCCACCCTCTCGCATCTTCACTGATTTTACCAGTATCCCCTGTTATATGGTCCTGTTCCGCTGGTTTTCTGTTGCTTTTTTCCCGAAGATTTGTCTTTATTTTAGTCGTAATTCCCATTTCGTCCTGGGAGATCGTCTATGTAGCTTCCATTCACTTCGCCACCATTTTACATCGACCTGACCTATTTATTTTAATCTTGATTAAATCTTATGTTGTTTGCATTAGCTCAGGTAGCTGTGTGTTCTCTTCAAATTTTATGTACACATTTCTTGTTTCTTCATCCACATCTATAGACAGAAAACAGCTTCCGGTGGCTTTCAGTAGATAACTCATTCTAGGTTAATCCTGAGTCATCCTAAGTACATTGTAGTTATAAATACCTCATGTGTTAAGTCTGTCCAGTCTATATCTAATCTATTTTTTCTTATCCCAAACTTATTTTGGCAAATGCTTTGTGGCAGTACAGAATATTTTGCTACAATTTGTTAATTGAGTTCTGCTGTATATTTTATTTGACTTTGTGCAAGGTACCTAGCCCCCAATTCAGATTTCTGAAATTTTAGATCAGATAACTGGTCTTAAGTGTTTCTATAGAAATTAAAGGGTCAAAATTGTATATGTGCTACATCTTTCTTAGTTATAGTGTTATAATACATTTTCTCAGATTTTAAAAAGTTGCCGCAAGAAGAAAGCGAGGAGAAAGAAAGGTGTTGAGAAGACATTGTATGGGGAAAGAGACATCGCTTCTAAGAAGCCGCTTCTGAGCCCTATTCCCGAGTTGCCTGAGGCCTCTGAGCTGTCCTCTTCCGTGCCAGGCGTCCGCAGGGTGTTCTCAGGTGTGGCCCCTTTCCTCTCGTCTCCACCCTCTTTGTTGCTGTCTTTTTCTTTTTTCCCTTTCTTCCATTCACCATGTAAATTGTAAGGAAATAACAAATAGCAACTTTTCATATTACTATGATTATGTTAAGAAAGCAGTAGTGTGTAACCCTTAGGTCACCTAGACCCTTTCAGATTCTGATGGAAGATCTTGATCCTCCCCCCCAGAGAAACTCAGACTCAAGATATTGCCTATAATTTAAGGGAAATAATTTTATTTCATTTTGTTTCTTTCTTCTTTTTAAAGCATTTTGTTAAAGTAAAGTGAACACTGCTTGGTGGTACAGTCCGTCCTTCAAAGTGAACGAGGTGATGACAGCTCAACGATAGATGTGTCTAACCGGAATTAAGGCCAACAGTTAAACAAATACTTGCCCTATGTTTCAGTAGAGTTGGTACCACTAAGCATCTTCTACAAGTGACATTTGTAAATTGAACTTGATTACCCTGAAAGCTTTGTTTAAAAACAAAGATGAAGTTGCTGATATCTTGGTTAGATAAAAATTGGGTTGGAGTTTCATTTGGTTTTTGATTCCAGATTTTTATTTTATTTATTTATTAAGAAAAATTTTTTTTTCTTTATTGACTTTAGGGAGAGGGAAAGAGATAGAAATATCCATGAGCGAGAACATCAATTGGCTGCCTCCTGCATGCCCCACACCGGGGATCGGGCCCACAACCTGCACATGTGCCTTGCTGGGAATCGAACCGGCAACCTCTTGGTGCATGGGTCAAAGCTCAACCACTGAGCCACACTGACCGGACTGATGCCAGGGTTTTAAATAGACTAAATCATGTCACAAATAGTAAGAGTGTGTTCATTTGGTATGTTAATTTTGTATAGAATCATTTTATTTATTTCTTTATTTCAGATCCTCCCCTGATGATATTTTTCCATCTATTTTCAGACAGAGTGGGAGGGGGAGGGAGAGAAGGAGAGAGAGAAACATCGATGTGAGAGAGACACATCGATTGGTTGCGTCTTACACAAGCCCGAAACGGCTGGGGACTGAACCGCAACAGAGTTACGTGTCCTTGACTGGAATTAAACCCAAGATTCTTTCATCCGAGGGCTGACGCTATACCCGCTGAGCCAAAGCGGCCAGGGCTGTATAGCATCATTTTTATTTATTTATTTATTTATTATCCTCACCCAAGGACATTTTTCGTTTTTTGTTTAGATAGAGTGGGAGGGAGAGAGGAAGAGAGAGAGAGAAACATCAACGTGAAAGGGACACATCGAGTGGTTGCCACCCTCACGACCCAACCAGGGCCGGGGACAAACTGCAACTGAGGTACATGCCCTTAGTGGGAACCGAACTCAGGTCTCTCTGGACCGCAGGCCAATGCTCTAACCGCTGAGCCCAACCAGCCAGGGCAATATAGAATCATTTTTAAAATAGCTGCCTTTGTCAGTCATCCAGTATTTATAGCCTGCACTCCCTTTGCAATATACCATATAATATTTATAACAAATTCAAGGATAAATATAGTACATGCCACTATAAACTCTTATCTCCTGCCTACTTCTTTATTTCAGGAAAGCACAAAAGTTTAAACGAACATAAGACCACCCCACAGTCACATACACTCCTCCAGCCCCTGAGCACCAGCAGGGGCAGCACTCTCCTGCCTCAGCCTTTCATGTTCATCTTGGGACAGGGGGTGGGCCACCTGCCTGTTTTTTTTCCTCCAATTTTTATTAACTTATTTTTGTTATAGATGTTTCTCCTTTTTTCTTTCTAGAACCCCTACTGCCCATCCCGCCCCCCCTCCACTCTCCTAGCATTGTTGTCTGTGTCCATTGGTTTTGCATACATGCATCTAAGTTCTTTAGTTCATCTCTTCCATCCTCCCCGCCCCCCTACTCTGAGGTTTCACAAACCTCTCTTTATTTTTTAAATCCTCACCCGGGGATATTTTTCCATTTACTTTCAGATAGAATGGGAGGGAGGGAGACACACAGATTGGTTTCCCCACATCGATTGGTTGCCCCCCTGCACAGCTCTGATCAGGGTTGGGGATGGAACCTGCAACCCTTTGGTCCACGAGCTGATGCTCTAACCATGTAGCAAACCAGTCAGAGCCACCCAACTCTTTTAATCTGTCCTAAGGCCGCTATCCTTTCAGATTTAGCTGTGCCGCCTGCCTTTTCAGGAAAACTGCTCACATCACACCTTTACCACCTCATGTGTAGCAATCTGTTCATCTCCATTACCTGCAAATTGTGATCCCCTTGAGACTGGAGACTAAGTCTTATTTTTTATTATATCCCCAGTTCCTAACAAGTGTTTTAAAAAGATGTTTAAATAATGTTAGTATATGTTTTCCATCTTGCATCTTATTAGAGAATTTGTTTTTAAAAATACCTGAAGCTGCCCTGGCCGGTTTGGCTCAGCGGTTAGAGTGTCGGCCTGCGGTCCCGAGAGACCCGGGTTCGGTTCCCGCTAAGGGCGCGTACCTCGGTTGCAGTTTGTCCCCGGCCCTGGTCGGTCGTGCGGGTGGCAGCCACTCGATGTGTCCCTTTCACATCGATGTCTCTCTCTCTCTCTCTCTGTTCCTCTCTCTCCCTCCCACTCTGTCTGTACAAAAAAAATAGAAAAAATGTCCTCGGGTGAGGATTAAAAAAAATAAATAAATAAAATAAAATAAATACCTGAAGCATTTTTTTTTTATCTATAGCCAACTGTTACAAGGGTTTAAAGCAGTTCCCTCCCTTCCTTCCTTCCTCCTTCCCTCTCCATGTTTTCCCTATCTCCTTGCTTCAACCCCCTCACCCCCACTTTCCTTCTTTAGTGTGTTAATTTCTTGAATGTTCATTTTTAAAGTTATAAAGAACCCAAGTGACATATTAGAGGTGGCATTGAGTAAACCTTACCCTATGTTAATTTCTAGTTTTACACATGATTTTAAGTACCCAAAGCATGGATATGTATATTACCTTTCTAATTGAAACATTGTTTTTAGATTTTTTGTTCAGCTTTTGTTTTGTGTGTCTGCCACTTTGATTTTGTTTAGAACATTTTTATACTCATTTGACTGACCAATTTAAAACTTAATTATATGAGATAGCAAGAGATGATATTTTATAGTACTGAGATTTAGAACATGTAAAGCCTGATTTCATTTACGCTGTGTTACTTAACTTGAAACCCTTAATGATTTTCTTTCCACCTATAGTGTCACAGAGTGAGGTGAAGACACATGACAGGCTCCACATGGCATGCACTTCCTGGACTGAGGCAGAAGGGAGATTTCTAGAATATTGAGACAAATGTGGCTCTATTTAAGAGTACATAGCAGTTTATATTAGTTTTTTAACATAGGGCATAAGACCTGAGTGTCTTCAGGGAGTAAGTACCCTGTTAGTGCTGTCTTTAAATCCCCCAGAATTCCAAGTTTTCTTTCCTAAAAGTGATCCCTAATTTCTTCTGCTAAAAGGTGGATTGTTAAAAAAAAATTATTTTATCTTTATACATAAATTATTTAGGGAAAACATTGATAGAAAAGTTTCAGAAGCATGGTGTTGCCCATTTTCAGTCATTTGTCTCTTAGGGGAATGGGAAATGTGGGCTTCATGCTAACTGACCAAGTAGTGTGGAAAGTACATGAGAAGGGAGGAAGCCACCTAAGCTACGGTTGTCATTGTCCTGGTCTGAGGTCATGTGCTTTGATAATTCAGTCATTAACTACATATTTTCTTCACCTGTGGGTTGGGGAAGAACTAAAAGAGAAGGATGGCAACAGGGCAAGTACAACGTGACATTATGACATCTGATTTTTGAAAACTTAAAACAGACTATAATATGGCACCTATTTGATTTGTTAAAGTTTATTTTTATGGTTACTTTTTAATTAGATTCAAACTTATTTACATGCCCATAGATTATTTCAACTCAAATGGTGAACTTGAAGAAATGAAGCCTTCTGAAAGAAAGTCTCTTCTTCCTCAGAACTCAGATTTGCAGTTGAATCAAGAATTTAATAAATACAATGTGTCTGAATTCTGCAGCTCTTACATAAAAAGTTCCTTGTCACTAATTAATGCCACTTTTGATCAAGATTCAAATATAAGTACTGTAGGAATGTATGCAAGTGAAATCATTACCAAATCAGAAATTAAGTTGGAAAGTGAAAATGACCTAAAAACTGGGACTGAGAATGAAAACAGTCATGTTTCTTGTGCTTCTGTGACTGAAAAACCCCTTGTATCAGATGGTCCACAATCTGATTTTATCATGCAGTCCCAAGAATTTCCTGCTGCTGGTCAAAACGTGGAAAACCTTTTTCAAAGCTTTCAAGTTTCAGGAGATATAAAATGTGAACAGGATGACTTCTTAGTAACTACTGAAGAAAAACTGCAGACTAAGCATTTAATGTCTGGCTCACAAAAAGTATGTGATTATTCAGATGATGTCTTAATTGACAGTAGAAAAAAGAAAAGGCAAAGTGAGGATTTGCAAAGAAACTCCACAGCAAGTAGCAGTGGTGTGCATTGTGAAAGGAAACATAGAAGACCCTCTGTGTGTGATCCTGATGGTCCAAATTTACGTTTGGAGAATAATGGAATTCTCAAACCTTCCTACAGTGTGGGCAGCTCTGTCAAAATTAGTTTGGAAAATTCCGAACTGTATAAAGATTTATCTGACTCCATAGAGCAAACCTTTAAGAGAACAAATCAGGAAACAAAAGTCAGACGTAGCACAAGGCTACAGAAAGATTTGGAAAATGAAGGACTTATATGGGTTTCACTTCCATTTCCTTCCACTTCCTGCCCTTCCCAAAAAACCAAAAGGAGAACAATGCATACATTTGACAGCAGAGGACTTGAGAGTATGTCCCCCAGAACAAAAGCTGTGTCCTTCAGACAAAAACCACGTGCACCCTGCTCCACCTCAGATCCAGAAAACAGTGCGGGCTTCACAGCCAGTTCCCGTCAACCTGAGAAAAGGAGGAAGAGCTTTTGTACATCTTCACTTGCCAACACTGAAAATACTAAGTCAAAATGTTAAAAAAGAAGACCTTTCTCAGCCAGGAGAGAGAGAGCTCTCTAAGGACATCGAGAGAGTTCACTGCACCGGGGAACTCGGCAATAATGCACATCTCCTGAAGAACATTTGGCCAGAGAAGGTAACCATCCATGCTTAAAAGATTCTTTCATCCAACTTCAGTGTTTTAAATGTTTCAAATAAAATCATTTGAGTTGAACCTACTTTTTAAGTAGAAATAAGTGAATTTATTTATCATTCAGAAAGAAAACATTCTATTAAATATGTCCTCCTCCTCCCAAATAGTAAATGCTTTATTAGTATTTGGGGGAAAAGGATTGTTTTTAGAGCCAATAATATGTCTCTCAAGCTTTATTTTATGTTAGTACAAATTTACCACCTCATTACAATTGGATGAGAAGAGGTGTTTTTTTTTAAATTAATATAATTAATGTAACTATGAAAATTGGAGGTTAACACAAGGTAGAAAACTGTTAAAGTGTTTTTATTTAAAAATACTGCAAAAAAACTGGTTAAAAGTTTTAACAATTAGAGTAGATGGAAATGATAAAACTTTTCTCTTTGGATTGAAGTCAAGAGCAGCTTAAATGACTTGCTTGATTTCTCTCAAATGAAAATTTTAATATCTAGATTAAAATCAAATTTTAAACATGGAATGGAAGTCTTTCAATGATCAGAATGCAAAGTGGGGCAAGAGTAAATTTACAGTTGTTTGGAAAATATTCAATAATTAATAAGTAATAATAAAAGAATAAACTTTGTGTTTTGCATACTCACAACTGTCAACTTAGTTTTGCCCCATTCTGTATGATTATCATTATAAAATGAAAATACAATTTATAGATACCTAATGTTGAAAGCATTTTGTTCAAACATTATTCTTACATGCTTTGTGGGGTGAGAAGTGGATCATTGGTTTTTGGTGAAAATATAGCAGTTTAGTTGAAGCCTCAGTTCCCAGATTATTCAAGTTAGTCACAGGTAATTTGGGATTGATTTTGTGGTTCTTCTTAAAAAAATTTTTTTAATCCAAAAAATTTATTCAGAATGGCCCTACGAAATGAGTTCACTAACATGAACTATGGTGGTAGATCACTGATTTATTTAACAGGGCATTTTCCAGCCCTTCTAACTTTATTTCACAGTGTCGAGGACTATTACTTGTCTTGAATTTTCTAGTTGTGCCTCAGCCACATAGTGATATATCCCGTATCCTATTGCCACCTTGGCGATAGCGGTTTGAAAATCTTAATTGTTATATATCTGGAATTTGTGGATGTGCATAAATCATTGTATCATTAAACAATTGTCTTTGGAATCCTTTAGGTCATTAACTCTCCCTCTCCTTGATAGCAGAAACCTGTTAACAAATAAAGCACTCTATAAATAACACAACCGGGAAGAAAGCTCCTGCTGAGCGCCTATTTCCCCTCCTCAGATAGAGACTATTTGTTACCTTCTTGGCACCAATAGGTCTGGAACTCCTGCTGGTAAAGACTAATGTATTTTACATTAACTCTCAAAGTGATCCCCAATTCCTTCTGCCTAATGGTAGATTGTTTAAAAAATTATTTTATCTTTACATGTAAATATATTTATGGACTTTCCCCTCTTTTATAGTTTAGTGTGGTTGGCAAATGGATACCACTGAAACAAACCACAGAAAAAGAAGAAACTAATTTACTTCTTATGAAGCTTTTGGGTTTTGGTAATTTCAAAAGAAAAAAAACTTTCAGAAATGTACTATGTTAAAGGATTTTGTTTTGTTAAATTTTTGTATTTCTCCTTTGTTTTACACGAAGGTTAAAAAACAATTGTTATTTTCTCCCTCTTTTAATTGGATGATATTCTGTAATCTCATGTCTTTGAACTTTTAAAATTTTACATGCTTTGTTTTATTCTTCAAAAAGTGCTAATTAGGATGAGGGAAACATTTTGGTGTGATTTTTGTATTTTATTTGATTTTTCTGATATAAATTGTTCTCATTTCCTAGCATCTACAGTTAACAATACAATGACACTACAAGTTGTCTTGGTTTCAAAATGTTTCAATACGAATATTTTATTAATATTTTTAAAGAACAAACAGGCATTTTTCCTAAAATGATCAGCTCTGAGAAATTAAAGAAACTTAGGCACAGTTTTATCCTTTATGTCTCATTTGCATCATAAAATCTACAAAATTAATGATTTCTGTATTTGAAATGCTTGCTTGCTTGCTTGCTTGCCACTTGCGGCTCAAAAATATTTTTTCTGACCTTATCTATTTTGCTACTGTAACCAATTGACATTGGACCTTAGATTAGAACCTCTTCTCATCTTTTCCTGCTTCTGTAGATTCTTATTTGTTCCAGAAGATGGCAGCATGACCTCTGAAGTTTCTCCCACACCCTTGACCTAAAGCCAGTGCAGCTCTTGTTGCTGCGGGCACCTCCCTTTAACTTTTATTTTTACTCATTTTTATTACAAGAGTAACATGTGGCTATGGAAAAGAGTAGAAAACCGTACAAAATTAAAAACTGTCTTCTCGCACCCCACGCAAGCATCCTGCAGCCGCACAGTCCTGTCCCAGCTTTCGTAACTGTGAACACAGAACAGCACATTACAGCTTCCAAACCTTCCCTGTGTAAACATGACCATGGGGGTTGCTGTTTTGATCACTGTACTTGCCATTCTGGAACTTGATTTTCTTACTCAACAAAATGCCGTGTATATCCTCAGTGTTAATATGGGGAGACCTAGTGCTCTTAAGTATTTTAAACCCTTTTCATAGAATTACATGATTTTGATATTTATAATTTGGTCATTTCCTTCCTAATACATGCTAGTTGTCTTCATTTTTTTATTATTGAAAATTATGCCACATTGGGCTTCTGTTTTGAAAATGTACGGTAAATTTCTTGAAATTAAAATGGTTATTAAGTTCTCTTTTATAAATCACACCTGGAAAAGTCCCTTTATAAAGACTCTGGCATCATTGCCTTTTTTTGTTTGTTTTTTGTTTTTGTTTTGTTTTGTTTTTTCATCCTCACCCGAGAGGACATTTTTCCATTTTTTGTTCAGTTAGAGTGGGAGGGAGAGAAAGAGAAACATCGGTGTGAAAGGAACACATTGAGTGGCTGCCACCCACACGACCAACCAGGACCAGGGACAAACTGCAACCTAGGCACGCTCCCTTAGCGGGAACCGAACCTGGGTCTCTCTGGACCGCAGGCCGACGCTCTAACTGCTGAGCCAAACCAGCCAGGGCAATCTTTGCCTTCTTTCTGTCTATCATATTGTCCTGCCACTTGGCTTCTATTTTCTCCCGCTCCCATTGGCACTTAAGTCATAGAATTAAGGGTTCGGTTTAGATTTGGCCTAACAAAAAGAAATGATTACTAATACCTGATTCATGCTTTATATTGAAAGAGTATTTTCTTGCCCTGGCCGGTTTGGCTCAGCAGTTAGAGCGTCGCCCATGGACCAGAGAGACCCAGGTTTGGTTCCCGCTAAGGGCACGTACCTCGGTTGCAGTTTGTCCCCGGTCCCGGTTGATGTGTGTCTCTCTCTCTCTCCCTCTCTGTTCCCCTCTCCCTCCTGCTCTATCTGAAGATAAATGCAAAAAGTGTCCTCAGGTGAGGATAAAAAAAAAGAGCATTTTCTTTTCTTTTTTTTAACGTCCTGTGTCTTGAGGTATAATTAACCTACAGTAAAGTTTACCCTTTTTTAGTAAACAGTTTGATTTTTGGCAGATTCATACAATCCTGTAACCACTACCACAGGCAAGTAATAGAACATATTCATCACCCCAAAAGAAGTTTTCTCCTACATCTTTGCAGTGATTACATTCTCCCTCCACCCTCGCCCCTCACAGCCACTCACCTGGCATCTATCCTTATAGTTTTGCCTTTTCCAGAATGTCATATAAATGGGATCATATAGTATATATCCTTTTTAAACTTAGAATAATTGCTTTTGAGATTAATCAGTGTCGCATGTCAAAAGTAGTTCATTTCTGTTTATTGCTAAGCAGTATTCCATTTTACGGATATACATACCAATTGATGGATATTTGGATTGTTTCTGTTTTTTGGCTGTTAAAATAAAGCTCCTGTCAATAGTCACATGTGGATATTTTTTTTAGATATGTTTTTTCATTTATCTTGGGATAAATGCTCAGGACTGGGAGTCCTGGGATTACCATTAGGATGTGTTTTAACTGTTTAAGAAATGGCCAAGCTTTTCCAAAGGACTGCACCATTTTGCACTCTTACCTTTAGCAAAGTTGTTTCAGTCACTTCTCGTTGTCACCAGCACCTGATACTGTCAGTCTTTTTCATTATAGGCATTCTAGTAGGTATGCATTGCAGTAGTATCTCGTTGTGGTTTTGATGTAAATTTCCCTAATGAATATCTTTTCCTGTTTGTTTGCCATCCTTATATCCTCTCTCTTTTTTTTTTAAATGTTTGTTTTTTTGGTAATCCTCACCTGAGGATATTTTTCTGTTTATCTTCAGATAGAGAGGGAGGGAGAGAAAGGGAGAGAGAAACATCAACGTGAGAGGGATGCATAGACTGGTTGCCGGCCGCACAACCCAGACTAGGGCCAGGGACAAACCGCAACTGAGGTACGTGGCCTTGGCCAGAATCGAATCCGCAACTCACTGGTCTGCTGGCCGATGCTCTACCCCTGAGCCAAACCGGCCAGGGCTTAAAATATGTTTTAATTGATTTTTATCAGTAGGAAAATGAAGTGAACTGAATTACAGTTAAGGTTCAAAATTAAGTTTGCTAAAAAACTAAATTATCTAATGAGCCTGATTCACTTCTCATAAATTGAGGATTTATTACAGCTTGGTTTGATATAAAAATTGTCTCACATACACACACACAAAGTCAGAAAGTAGCCTTAGCTTTTGAGAATTATTTCTTAACATGGGAAAATTCCCCTGCACCAGGTCATCCTAGACAAACAGATTGTGGGTTCATTCATATATGGTACAGGCATAATTTCTAAGTGTGATCACTACCTTCAAGAGGCTCAGTATTCTCTGGTGGGCAGGATCATAATACAGGTTATGATTATAGAGTAATGCCCTGGACCTCTTGGCACCAACTTCAGATCAAGTAAG